TATATTCATAAATTCCAAATGTGTAGTATTATTAGTAAATTAGTATTGCACGCACATACACAGTTGCGAAAAAATATGCAATTAACCCGATTGCTTTTGGATTGATCTAATATAAATTTATGCGTCATCGCGCGTACGGTATTATTTGGAGTCATATAATAATTAGTAGTGCAAAAACATTTTATATTCTCAATATTTTGAATGGTTTTTTCAACTTTTCAATTTTATGTATTATAGAATTTCGTATGTATTTCCAATGTAGAAACACGCACCGTTTCTCATATTGATCTTGGAAATTATGATCTTAAAAATTCTCTTTTTTCATATAAAACATTGATTTTTTTTTAATGACTTAATTATCGCAGGATTTCTCTAAGAAAAAAAAAAGAAGGTTTTTTTCTTTTTGGTATATTTTCATATACCAAATTATATTTATCATATTGAAATTTTTCTGCGACGGAAATCGGTAGATTCTATCCATTATATTGGGGAAAAAATAGTAATATCCGGATCATACGGGCAGTAAGTACTAACATAGTTTTTGCCAATGATTGCGGAGAGCGGTCGGTCGAGCGTAAAGTCCGGCCGCCTTTTGACCGCTACCTTGATGCCCTTCGATGACTCGTAATGACTACCTGCACGGCATCATAGTCTATTTTCTGCACGTATAAATGTACGCAATGCACTGCCCGCACGACCGTCTTTCACAGTATACCACGACGTGTCTATTTGTGAAGTGGTTTCCGGAGGAGTGCAGATTTTTCCAGGTAAAGCTCTTTATGGAGCTCTTTATATATTCACGTGAATTTGAATTTCAAACTCTACCTTTTCCGGATTCTGTTTTTAGACATTTTTGATCGATCTATTTTCGATTGATTTGTTTAAGTACACGTCGAAGATGACACACTTTTAACAGAAAAATCGCTAAAACATTATTATTAATATTTTAGTATTTTTATAATATTAACCAATAAAAGATGAGAAACTTGATAATAATTAGGCAGGATTAATTAATAATAATGCTAATAGTAAAAAATAACTGTATAGGAAAAAAGTTAAAATTACGTTTGTGCCTATTTAAAAATACTATTTTTCTAATATATACAAATATTTACAAATAATTAAATGCCGTGAAAATATATATTTGATCAGAAGACTGTTAACATATTGTATTTCTCGAAAAAAAAATTTTGATATTCTTTCCACCACTTCCGAATTTATATCTATGAAATACATATCTTTGTTTTTTTAATATTGTTTTGTTGTTTTATTTAATAATTTACACACGTAAGGTCAAAAAATCGAAGAAGAAAATAAGTAAAATATACGTAACAGCGACATAGATGAAATTATTTTATGGATGAGATAAGAAAATAGGATAGAAGAAGTGGAATACGTGCAGAGAATATTATCAAATCAAGCAAGGATATTATCTTTTAATGAATAATATCTATTTCTTCTACATGGCTGCGTTATTAACTTTAACGTTAAATGTTACATTGGATAGATGATGCATTGGAGGCATCCGAGTGACGTTTCCGAACGCAGCCAATATCTTTTTGAATTTAATTAGTCTTGAAGTTGTGATAATATTATTCATTTGATATTTATTTATAAATAATCTCTCTTTTTAAAAAAACAAAAAAAAAATGAAATAAATAAAAGAATCTTAAACAACTTTTTAATTAAATTTAAATTTGACAAAAGTACCTCCTTATTTGGCAACATTCCAATTTTTGAAAAACAATACTTATTTTTTTATGACTTTCCTCTCTTATTCTAAACTTTCTAAATTTTGTTCATAAAAGGAAATTTACAAGTATTAATATAGCATTTGTATAAATATATAGTATCGCGAAATTTCTTTAAACTATTTCTTTAACCATTTTTACGTTTTTGCTAGAAAAAAATTGATGCAAAATTATCCACAGAATTTTGCTTGTAGCTTAACAAAAGTGTACAGTTTAGAGTTTAGATTAGGCGAATAAAATTGATTTTCAGGAAAGACATCATATAAAAAAAAAGAGAGAGAAAACGCGAACAAACTGCGTCACTAACCCACATTGATATTATTGGTCCTGAGAGACTCATATGCGTCTAAATACAGATGCACCCTCGTGCTTTCCACGTCCTCGCCTTCATGCTGACTGCAGTCGTAAGGGCCGGCTGTGACGATAAAACAAAATGGTACTCTGAGTTACGGTCCATAATCAAGAATTGCCCATCAGTGACGCAAAACAGCTCCGATCAGGATGAATTATTGGACATTTTTAGAAGATGCGTGCAGCAGAGAGCCATTGACACTTTGGATACTCTCCTCGACGATGATGTTATTACGATATTCGACGGTGTCGATCTGATACGACTTCATTCAAACGATGAAAACAATACGGAATATAAGTGAGTTGATTATTATAATCTATATCTAGTTATCCGTAAATTAAAAAGAGGAAAAGGAAGAGAGAGAGAGAGAGAGAGAGAGAGAGAGAACAAGTAGGCACAGTAGGGAAGTAGATCAAAAATAGAACTCTGTCCGATAAAAGCTCAAGGCTAAAGGTATGCGAATCAGGGAGATATTATTAAAGGAATTTTATCGAAGTTTGCTGTAGTAGATTAATATGCATTGAAGCGTGCTGTAGTAAGATTGCAATATTATATCAGAATTCGTTGAATTTCGGAAGAATGCGTTATCGCGTGCTTCAGCCTTATATTCAACTCTTTCATAATATTGGGAATATATTAGAAGAGAGAAAAATGTTTATTACGTATCTCTAATATGCTTTTGCTTGGTAAAATTGCAGATTACCACCTCACCGATTTCAATGATCTTGACAATGATGTTGTCAAGGTCATGACACTGAGTAACCTTCATCAGGTTTTAGCCGTCGCTCGTCATTCATTAAAAAGTTAATAACAAAAAAGTTTGAAAAATAATGTCTCTTTTGTACTGTATAAAATAAATCCCCCCTCGCTTCGCGTGTAAGTCGTACACCCCTAAGCAGGAGGGGGAAGTGGGGTGAGAATCGCTTCGCGTGGAAAGTTATAAAAAATATTTTAAAACAGAGAACTTTTCGTTTTCTGAAATATTAATTCAATTTAAATGAATGTATATTAGATAGTAGTTCAACATCTTAACACTCGGACCGGTAAGGCGCTTCGTATTTAAAGAACTTTTCTTGTTTTATATAATAGAAAAAAGACGTTGTTTTTTAAACTTCTGTTGTTAATAATTTTTTAATAAATAACGAGCGACAGTTAAAATTCATTGGAGGTGATTCAGAGTCATTATGTGAAGGTCATTGAAATTGGTAAGGTCGTCGGTAATATGTAGATTTACCCTTTCATGCTTTATTGAAATTACATAAGATAGAATGAATACAATGAATTAAGAAATACTGTACATTATAAAATTAATTATGCATATAAGGGTTTGGAATAACAATGTGCCGAGTGACATGAAGGAAGTATGTGCATAATTTTGCAGTTAATTGATAATGTCAATTGTACGATTAAAAATTGATTTCTTTCGAAGAGAGAGATGCAGATTGTAGTGAATTTTTGTAAAGAGGAATATTAAGTATTCACGAAGTTCATAATATATTACGTTTAATTTAACATATCGTTGTTGCAAGCCCTTTAAATAAAATTATATTTGCGATTAAAACACGCGCAGCGATTTTCGACAGAGATGATTCTGCTGATGAGTTAGAAGAGGAGGATATCAGTTGGTCGACAATCATCTGGAATCGAATGACACGCGTCCTGCGGACTCACGCTTTTAAAATTGACGTTGATCGTATATTTAATGCAGCTGCTAACAGTCCGACGTCCGCACGAAATCTGGATAATAATATCATTCAGGGTGAGTCATAACGCGGAATATAACGCACAAACAATAGAACTTAACGATAATTTAAAGTGAAATTTGCGTCCCATAGGTCGGAAACGCCGTCACCGCCGTAGGCATCACATGTTCCCGCTGATGATGATGGGTCTGCTGTTGATGGGTACGATTCTAGTGCCGATGGGTTTTCAATTCCTTGCGGTGTTGGGTGGTAAAGCCTTGATACTCGCCAAAATGGCTCTTATATTATCCAGCATACAAGGTCTGAAAAAGATAGCTACTAGTGGCGTTAATTACGGATTATATCACGTCCACGACAGAAGTCATCAGGTACTTCCCAACGAGGATCAAGAACATTATCCGTTATATATGCCTCCGCATCCTTAGTTTCTTTGCCAAGTGAAATTTTAAGTACAAGTCATTCGAGAAAGTTCCAACGCGACGCGTATTGTACTTTCGTCGATAAAATAGAGAGTAAAACAAAATAGCACAATCGGGAGTATTTCCTGAAATTGAATTATTCATGGCAGTGCTCTTGAATTTTATTAATAATCATACAACAAGAATTTTCCTTCGAGACATTTTCTCCATTACCGCACATTTACATTTTGCTGCAAGCTATTTGATCATGCAAAGCATTCTACAATATTTGATCGATGCTACGCTAATTATCATATAGCGTATAATATTGTAGAAAGGCGTGTTCGAGCGTTATCCGTCAACAAACTCGGGAAACAACTTTTTTTGTTTTTTTAGTACAATATTTTTCTCTTCCAAATTTTTTTAGAATATTAATCTGAAACTTAATTTTTATAGATTTAATAATTTATGAATAGAAATTGCAATCACATGCGCAAAGGATCGATATTTGAAAAAATATTTGAAAATATTTATAATTTTGTAGATTTTTTAGGTCGCCGACACCCATGTTGATTTATTTGCCGCAGTAGAATTGTAAATCGGCAATTGTATTACTGACAGATCTATAAATAGACTGTATTATATTTTTGCAGTTTATTTTCATCTTCATGATCATCATTTAATCGTAAACATGAGAATCCATTTGCATTCTGTTTTATTCGGACATGCGAATCTCGTCGAGGATATAAAGTCTGTCATATGAAAACGTCGTTTTCACGTCTGATAAATATAAGAGAAAAAGATTATTATTTCATGTAGGAATACGCCCAAACGGCCACACTGCGAGTACCAGAGCGTATGCATGTTTGAAAATAATAAAATTCTTTTTTGTATTTATATATACGGATGACACTCATTAATATAATACAAATATAAAAATACAAATTATGAATACAATAATATTAACAACTGATATTGTTTCGATACAGATCGTCTTATAAAGTGCTATAATACTAACAGTTACATAAATTGCATGTTGAAAATTAGCATTTATGTTATAATCCACCGCAATTCAATGGATTACAACAGGTAACAATCGTGGCTGTCACGAGCAGTCGCGATTATTTATTCACGAATGTCGTCGAGATATGTCGCATTTCGTGTTTAACTAATTCTATGGGAAAACATGCTTATACAATGACCACCATTTACATCTAAATAGATACCGTCAAGCAAAGCGATTTTGACGTCTATAGATTAAACATTATTCTATCGTGTATAAAAAAATCGGAATTGAGATATTGACCGATATTTGCTTCTGTATTTCTGTATTTTAGCGCATAGAGGATAGATCCGTTAATAAATGAGCGATTATCAGTCAGTATCCTTGTATCAATACCTCTTTCTGTGATTGTATAAAATAATATAAATAATTACTATAAAATTTGATTTATTTCCGAATTATGTATTTTACAATACATAAATTTTATTGAATTGAATATTTATCTATTAAGTTAGTAGCCGTTTGTGTACGTATGTGTATGTGTGTATAATTATATTTAAGATTGCATTTATAATCCAGATTACTATATGAAGCGGCAAATATTTGTGTGACACATTATTTTCACAATGCGTGATTATTTACGGCTGTAATATTCGCGGGGTACTACTTATTTAAAGTATCAGTTTCTCGAATTTTTCCTTAAGTCCTCATCGATCAAATGTTCATCATACAGTCAATATTATAACGGTTTTCATCACGGACTCCGTTCGCATTCAATTACACTTCTAGCTCAAGCATAAAGAAAACATAATAATATGCCTTGTCTTAGTGTTTTCGTTACGAAAGGGAAATCATTTATAAAGCTTACGGACGTTGCCTTGAACAACGGGCGACGACTCTTCGCCGCCATCATCGATCTCGATTATAGCTTTGAGATTAAAGCTAGACGAAATAACATCGTGTCGGAACGAAAGCTATACACGCGTGCGTGCACACATATACACACACATACACACACAATATATATAATATATATGTACGTGTATAGCAATGATAAAATGCACTAATCGAGCGATCGTCCATTTTACTGACAGGATGACGCGTGTCCTGTATTCCTGTCTCATGATTACGAATATCGTTATAATATCGAAGAACATTTAAAATGTCAACCCGTCTTTTTCCCGCGGCGATACAAAACGTTATATATGTATATATATATGTCGACACAGAATGCGATATAGTGATTTTCGCATCTACGAAAGAATCTGTCGATAATTCCTGTTCCCTTTGACATTCGCTTGCGATACGCAAAGCTTATATCAAGGTATATATCATATGAGCTCTGTATAATCAATGAATAACAAATGTGAATTTGTTAAAATTTGAAAAAAAAAAAGAGAAATAAGCTTGTTTATGCTTTTGAGAGAGAATTGCTAATTTATTATACTTACTATTATATAATTATAAAATTTTTTATTTAATCTTCTATCGTATATAAAAACTGATCAAGGAATAAAAAAAAATCTTCCCAAGACTGAGAAAGATAATCTTAAAAAAAATATTGAAGCTCATGATCGTTGAAGTATCGATCGTTTAATGAATTTTTGAAAAGGGGGAATTTTTCAAATCAAATTTAAAAAATACAAATATAAATCTTTTATATAAACGAAAGAATGTCAATTTTTTGAAAGTTTTACTTTTAATTTAAAAACGCCACAAATATATGAAAATATTTAATAACAAAAAGGCTCGAACGGAATATTTTTGACCTTTTAGATCGGACAAAGTGTACATCGTGTTCCCGTCTCCAAATTCACCCCTACAGTTGTAAAGCTTCGTAGCGCGTAACAATAAGGCTTGGGGGTTGCGCGCAGTCAGAACGAAGCGAGGAGGCTGTGTAGACTAGCTATAAGAGGGACGCCGTGCGTCGCGACGCCATCAGAACACCTGCCGCGCTCGACCCGAGCTCGGCGCAACCCCCACAATATCTTGCGCTGTCACTTCGATCTCTCCACAGCGATCGAAGGGCGAGGGAAACCGATCCAGCCGCGAGGGAGAAGCTCCAGTTCTTACTTGACTCGCTGCGCGTTGTCACCTGTTTCCGTTTCTCCTCGATTTTGTCATCAGTGAGAGATGTTCTCCAAGTCAACTTCAACAACTCTCCTGGTCATCATCATGATCGTCGTCGGAGCGACGTTTCACGTCGCGAAAGCAGCAATCGATAACGATCGCCGTCAACAACAGGTAAACGCACCGCTAGAATGTACATACATTTGCTTAAAAATTAAAATATGTATGAAATATAAGAAATTGAAGAAATTTTTTTTAAATATCCGAGTTTTTAAGAAATATAAAATATACAAAAAAATACATAATTTGAAGAAATATATTTTTTTGACCATAAAATTAGAAAATATAAAATTAAAAGTAAAAAACATATATATAATTATTTATCTTAATTATTACTATATTTCATAGTTTTTATCGTCTTTAATATGTTGTTTGTTTTGGTTAATTCTTGAATTAATCATTAATGATGAAATAGAACTAAGGATAATAAACAAAAATGATTGGAATAATTGTGGTTATTAAAACTTTTTTAATGACAATAAACTGCGATCGTTTTCAAATTATTAAGATGATAATTCTTATTTATATATATGTTGCAAGAGTCACATTAAAAAGTGATGTTAATAAAGTATCTTAAAATGTTTACACTGCATGTGCACATAATTTTAGTTTAATTATTTTTCTGTTTTTATATTACTTTTTTCCTTCAAAAACAATTGATTTGAAGATATTCAAAATTTACGACTCATTTAAGAATTTTAGCGTACAATAAACTTAATGAAAATAATATTACGGTTACAGAAGACCATGCTATGTATGATAAAATTATCGTAGGTTTCTTCTCCAATCAATTACCTCTTTTTTAAGAAAATTATAATTGCTTTATGATTCACTTAACTTAGCTAATTGATGTCTGCTGTATTTTTCTGTTAGGATTAGATTGACGGTCGATCGATATGACTTAAATGTTTAGTGATAGTTTCGAAAATGAGTTCACGATTGTAATTATGTGTATTTATATACTGTGCGCAATAAACTTTAATAAAATTAAAGAATGTAGTTATATAAAAAAAATAAATATATAATTGAAGGAATAATTATTTTATTGTACAGAAAAAATGAAGTTAAATTAAAAATATGGTACTTTTAAATTAATAAATGAATCTTATTAGACACGAGAATTAAAAGATAGAAAGAGAATTTCGAAAACTAAGAACTTTAAGAACTTTTTTTTGTACTACAAGTGACGTCATTTGCTAACTTATAATGAGTTTTGATTCTTTACTTACAAGTAAGTCACTCTTGGTTAAGATTTGGACTTCTTTTCATCACTTTCATAAGGAAATAAAGATAAATATAACATCAAGTTACTATATCAAAGACGAGAACTTAATTAGTTAAGTTTCCTACAGTTTTTTTATATGTAATTATGTAATAGATATAAAGCGATACCTATTGCGAGTTTTGATTAGAATTTTTATAGAAAAGAGAAAATTTTTTAATCTACATTACTTTGCTACTTAAAATTTGATTTCTATGACAAAATATTGTAGAACTGTACTTTTCTACCGATATCAGCTAAAATCAGAAATGAGAAAGTTGAATTTACCTTAATCATAAACGTGCTTTATTATAGTATAGTATAATATTAATTTCTTGTGTATTCAAAGAGAGTTGAAAAGAACAAACAAAAGACTTATAGATATATATCACTGTACCAGGGACCTCGTGTGTCATATTAATGATATGCGATAATTACCTTCTGGCCGTCGCGCGATCGCCGGCAAATGCGCCCGTATTGCGATATTCGCGCCAGGGCCATCATTCAGACAGGAGACTTTGGCAATTACTATCGAGACAGGTTTATCTGGCAGGTGGGGACGGTTTTTATAGCGGCTCCCACATCCTCTCGCGACAGTCGAGAATTAATGTTAATTGAATAACGGATTTTTCGTTTCGCACGCGCGCGAAGCGAGCCACATGCGGCGGTGGAAAATGTAATTTGCGCGATTCTTGTTGCAGCACGTAACGACAGATGCATACATGTGCTCGAACAAAATGCAACAAATGCTATACGAGCTTCTATTTAAATCATAACGATATGTATATACATATATGTGTGTATTTCTTTTTAACCGGATTTTACATTTACAATCATATAAATATAATCAAATATAAAATAGCGTGGTTCAATTATTTTTTATACTTCATAGCATGATGACCAGTGTAATTCTACGATATTCATGGAAACAAACACGTACGAATGCGAATTAATTAATAAAAAGGTAGCATT